AAATAGTATAGGATCTGAGTTAAAACTGGGATACTTAGGGGAGCTCTGGTGGCCTAGTGGCAAGAAGCTGCACTGCAATCCCAGAGGCGCATGGTTCGAATCCACCAGATGCTCTGCCGGGAAAGGAGGGACAATCTCCTCCTGTACCAGTCAGCTCTGATTTGACGGTACACAGACACACAAAATAATAATAAAATAAAATAAAATAACCCACAAAAACAAAAACAACAAACAAAAAAAGCTGGGATACTTAGCACTGTCTCTGTGCAGTATGTCTGTGCACTGCCTCAGCTCTTACTCAACACTGGTTTAGATTGTTCACTCATTTATAATAACAAATAGAGTGGAATACCTACCCAATCTTCCCAGGTACCTTCAGGATTTTTCTTCATGATGGGCTCAAGGCGTTTCAGAAGGACCTGACAAGCATTCTTGAAAGCATAAAGGAGAAAATCCACATTAGAGAAGAGCCTGGGACTAGGATTTGTGTAAAAGCATATTTATAGATCATTAGTTAGGTTATCAAATGCTTGTGAAGAGTCTTGTTATCGATTTACTGGGGACACAGAGATAACACAACAGTTTCTACCCTGGAGACTTGTATTAGTTACTGAAGGAATTCCCCTCTTCTTTTTGATTCAATTCCTGTGGAAATAGGAACTCAGGTGAAGCTCTGTTTTCAAATTTTCCTTCTTAGAATTTTCCTGTTCTAAACACCTTCTTTTTCTTTCTAATGTGTGACCCATACCATCTTCTATGTTCTCCAGTCATTCAAATAAATGGAACAAACCTCTATTTTGATTTGGATTTGTGCTTTCCAGTTTTCAGGGCTGTCGTTAAATCTCCCTCTCGTTGTGGAACACTCGTCAACTCTTATGTCTGTCCCTGTGTCCTTTTGTCCAGTCACCTGTCAGCAAACTTCTGTAATGAAGACCTTGGTGCTGAGTGCGAAGTCACCCAGGAAAAACTAAGACTTTGTTTATAATAAACCTATATCCATAACATCAAGAAAACAAAGATTCTCACCACTGGGCCAACTGGCAGCATTATGATTGAGATTGTTAACAGCTTCAGTTTGCTTGGTCTACAATCAACACTCTTGGTACCAGCAGCCAGGAAATTAGACCAATTGTGTTGGGAAAGTCTGCAGTCAGAGACCTCTTCAAAGTACTGAAGAGCAACAATGTCAGTCTGGAGACTAAGTGCATCTGATCCAGGCCATGGTCTTTGCAATTACTTGCTAGGCATCAGAAATCTGGACAATGACTAGAGATGATAGAAGGAGAATTGATGCCTTTGAGTTGTGGTGCTGGAGATGAGTATTGAATATACCATAGACTGCTAGGAGAACAAACAAGTTTGTGCTGGAGAGGGTGAGGCCAGACTGCTCCGTGGAGGCAAGGATTCTGAAGGTTTGTCTGACATACTTTGGACATGTTGCAAGGCTTGGAGAGTCACGTCATTCTTGGGAGGGTAGAGGGACAGCGCAGGAGAGGAAGACCCTCAATGAGGTGGATTGATTCTGTGACTGGGGTAATGGGGATAGGTGTGTTGGAGACAATGGGATTGGCACAGGATAGAGCAGGGTTCAGAGCTGTTGTACATAGGGTCACTATGAGTCGCAGGTGACTCGACAGCACATAGCAACAACAATAACATATCTACAAAATTTCTGATCCTGGAAATGTAAACTTTGAACTCAGTATCTGAGAAAATGAAACTTTGGGCTGATATTCTGAGCTGTTCCTCTCTTTTGTATATATGTTTTTAATTACTATTGTTGTTTTTGAGAATACCGGCAGTACAACATACACCAATTTGACAATTCCTGTTTTTAGTGACACTGATCACATTCCTCAAGCTGTGCAGCCATTCTCATCCTCCTTTTCTGAGCTGTTCCTCTCTTGTTACTATAACCCACTGCTCCCCAAGGTCCTATCTAACCTTTCTAGTTGTCCTTATCAGTCTGATCATGCACAGATAGTT